TAGACTGGGGTTTGTGCACATAATCACTTGGTGATTGCTTCACGTGACAAAGGCAGCTAAGGTCTTCAGGGTGCCTTTTGCACTTGAGTGAATTCTTGCCACTTCCAAGAAATGGGGAATTTATGGGGAGCAGTTGCAATTAAGGTGGTTCCTAACTATTTGTTTGAAAATTAAAGACAATAGGCACTAGAAAGACGTAAACATGCAATATGTCTAGAGAGCTACCTGGGTAATATGCATGTAGAAAAGAGTATCCGTAATGTAGTGAGGTTGGTCACATAATATTTGTGCTAGAATAAGCTAAAATGATTAACTAGTGATTTAGTGAAGCCTACCAGGAAAAGTTTGCATTTGAAATGGTTGAATTTTGGGGGGAACTAAGAAAATAGCAGTGAAGATAAATGTGGAAAGGGAATGAGTTTTATACTTTGGCGTGAACTTCAAGGTCTGAATGATTTATACATGAAAGCATGTTTCTCAAAATGTTTCACTGATTCTGTTAGTTCATTTCTTTGTTTTCTTGAAAACATGAGAGTTGACGTAGTGGGTTGCAGTGCAGGTGGTTTAAAAAAAATGTAGCAGTTAATTTTTGTAGAGGGAGAATGTTTCTGTATACATTTTTTTTTAAAAGGTCAGAAAACTCTTTGTACTAATGCACTTGGATGTTGGTTTACATGCTACAGAAGGACAGTGGGTGCTGTTTGCAAAGTCATTTCTGTACTGGAAGCAGAACCAGCAACTAGCAGGCTTTTCTGAGAGACTCTCATGCTTGGTGGGAAAGAATTTCCTGGAGGAGGGTGTGGGGGGAGAAAGGCAAGTTCCTGTGATTGTCCGTTCAGAAGTTGGGCTTGAGTTGGTTGTTACCTGCCTGAGAAATAACAAGATTATTTAACTGGAAAGGCAGGGACATCTTATCCTCCTCAGGGCAGGATCAGCTGAGCAGGTTGCCTAGGGCTTTTCCAGTTGGGTGTTGAAACACTTTGAGGAGAGAGAACCTGTGTCCAGCTCTATGGACAATGGAGTCTGCTGCTTCATCCTCATGAGAGGAAAAAAGCATGCTGCATCTATCTTAATCTGCCTAGCAGGACTATATGACCCTCATCAAAAGGTGAGAAGTTTGAAAGGGTGATCTGGAGGACTTCAGGATTGATTTTGTCCTGAGATAAGCACGTTGCTTAAGAGAAACAAACAGTTAAGCATGTTTGAAATTGGATGCTAAGGTGCTTTTGCAGCCTTTTGAATAGTTTTAATTGTTAAATTACAGACTTGGATTAACAGATATAAACAGTTACCTGAAAGTTGTGTGAATAATGAATATTGTCAATTCTAGCTTTGCTCTGAAGATCTGGGTCTGGCTATAAAATTGTGTCTTGCTGTGGAGTATTTTAGGGTGAACTGTACTAGCTCTCCTTCAAAATGTCTGAGATAAGGTAGTCTTACTGATGCTATAATGCATTTTTCCCCTTTTCTATGAGCCATTACTCACCAGCTGGATTTATGATCTTGACACCGTCTTGTGGGTTTATTAATGTTCGACAGCTGTGTTCTGCTTCTAAAAAAACCCTGATGTTGTATTGCATCCCAGTAGTTCTCTTTCTTGTCTTCAAATCAACTTTTGGATTTATTCTGCCTTCAATAACGTCAGAAGAAAAAATGTTGTTTAAAATTGAATATAGGCAAAAAGAAGCATAGAAGGAGCAGAAGTGTAAAATTGGAGAAATAGTAGACATTTTGGTAGAACTTTAGATTTTATAATGATGGGCTTAAACTTTTATTGTTAGTCATTTGAAGTTATGTAATGTTTTGCTCAATATTGATTGTGCAAGTGTAATAGCTTGTTCAGCAGCTGCATTTGAGAGCAATCGTGATGTTGATACATAGTTTGTCAGCCCACACACTGGGCAGTCGCATGAAGATCTGTGTGAATAGAAAATAGGCCCGTAACAGATTTTAAGACTTTCCTGAGGGCACTTAATTTTTGATATTAGCGCTTTAAAATTTTGGGGTGGGGGATGATGAAAGCAACCTGTATGTTGGCTGTATCTGCGCTATTCCTAAAATTCCATTTAAAACTTTTTAACCATAAAGAATTCAGTAGGTTATCTCCATTTTGTCTAGTTCAAGAATCCTAAAGCCCTTTGAGCTTCAAGTTTATAATATTTTTTTTTTGCATGTGTGTCTTGGGTTCATTCTTTATGTAAATTGCATGCAGTTGTGTTCTGTTGCAAAGTATTTTGTCGATGCAGAAATGAACCACACCCATTATTTCTGGGGTAGCTTCATCTTAAAAGCAAGTGTGAAGTGTTTTTAGAAAGCTCTTTGATTTCAAAATGAGTGAAGGGTTTTTGTTGCTTTTTGATCAGTAGTCCAGGCTGTGTATGTGATCAATCATAAGCTACTTTCTTTTCTTGAAAACAACTTCATGCTTGATTAAAAATTGAAAGCTTTTGTGATAAGAGTTTTTAGGACCTACAGAAAAGATGGGCATCTAGAAGTAACTGTCTGCATTGGTCCATGTGACAATGTCAGTGAATTTTCCTGTTTGCGTGATTTTAGTTTCCTGATACAGCCATTTGCACAAGTGTTCTTGAATTAATCTAGATACTTAGGGCTCTCTAAAGAAAACTGATTCATCTGCAGTCTATGTGGGTCACAGATCTGTAGCTATTAGTATATCTTGTATGGAATGCTTAACTTCATTTTGATGGGTGCATGTTCCTTTCAGGATTTAAATTCTACTTTTCCAGGTTATGTCTTGAATCCAAAAGATTTCTGGGTTTCTTTTGTAGTTCAGCGCAACTATCTGTAAGCTGCATGATACTGCCAAAAATGATTTGCAGACTATTTTATTCTCCAGGAGATATTCATTTACGCTCAGTACAGCAAAATACTGTTCTTTCACAGAAGTTTTAAAATTATTTCTGAAAAAAAAAAAAACAGGCATGTTTGTTTGAATATGTATGTATGTCATCTTTCTGGTAAACCATGTAAATCTCAGATCAAATTTGTATGTACTAAAAACATTATAAAAAAAATCAAACAGTCCAAAATTTCATTTTTAGTGGCATTGGAACTGTTTGCTGAATGCAAACCAGAGGTTTATGGTCCAACATCATGCTTAGTGATACAAGTAAGCAGTGGGAGGAGAAAGGCTGGGGAGGCCTTTACCTACTCTTTACTGTAAAATTTGCCTTTTCCACAGGAAAACACTGTGGAAGGGATCTCCAGGCTTCAGTGTAATCTGTGTTAAGTGCTAGTCTGACTAACATACATCTTGGCAAAAAAACCCTCTTAAAATTGTTACCCTATTACATTATGTAGAAGTGTTTGCAGACTTCTCATATCAGGAAGATATTTTCCTCCACATAATCTTTGGAATCTGCTATTTAGAGATCAAAAATTGCATGGTTACCTAAGGGGAAATGTTTACAATCCTTGAACGTTATCAGCCTCCTAGAGATAATATTTTATCTATGGTGTTATCATATTATTTCCCATGAGAGAGAGAACTGTTTTCTTCAAATCCTCAAGCTTTGAAGCAAGCTGCAATGTTGACAATAATCTGAATCTTACTAGCTAGAAAAAATGCTGTCTGGATTACTTTTAGTTTACTGTTACAGGTTTTGATAAACTCAGATTTAATAATTCTTAGAGATCTGGGCACTTAGACTGTCCAGGCGGTAGGGATTTCTTTAAAAATCTTTACTCTAAGCAGTTAGCCTAAATGAATCTTGTAATACAAGTGTTTCCTAAACCTGTGATTCCAACCAATCTAGATGAATGTTATTGAGCAGGGGAAAAACACCAAATATGTCTGTTTCACCTTCATTGCAGGCTGTCTTGACTTTTTTGGGGTTCAGTGGGAGACCCTGAGTTTCATGTTCTTCCTACTCTCCGCCTGCTGAAATGACACATTCTGATTGTCACTAGATAATGTCTCTTCAACTGAATCTTGCATTATTAGTTTGCGCAGTGCGAAGAGAAGTGTCCTTTTATATTTTGGGTAGACTTTAGCTATGTATGGGAGTACCAGATGAGAGCGCTGTACTGGTCCTTTCTAAGAATTGCTAGTCTTGTGGGAGTGTAATGGCTTTGGATTGGCTAGAAACACCGAAAAAACAATCTTCTACAGGACAAGTGTTAGGGGAAAGGGGAAGAGTGAGTTTAGAACCCAAAAACTTTGTAGAAGAGTTACTATGGCAAGGGGCACATGGAATTGGAAGCAAGGAGCAGTTCTTGCTAAATCCGCTTTACCCAAAGGTTCTGCCTGCTTCATGTAAATGAAAAGACTCCAGATCTCTCATCTGGGATCCAGTCCTTTGGTCTTGAATGTCATCAGTTTCACAGGATCGTTAGCACTCCTGTAGTTTGATATTTCTTCCTGGGACTACTTGTTGACTACTAGAATAACTCCTGGGTCTCTCCTCCATGGGCAAACATGAGCATGAAATCAGTTGGTCAGAAGTCACAGAAAGTAGTTGTACAGATGGTATAAGGTGCTGCTCCATTTTCTCATACTTTGGGAGTTTCAAATACAAAAATCGGCGCTCTTCTGATTATGTACATTGCCACTTTGTTGTAATGGTGATGTGATCTTCATAAAGGATCTGTTTCGTTGTCACTTGTGTAGGTAGCAGGGAGAGTTACATCCTTTGTCACCCTGCTGTGGAAGGGTTGTGAGTAGTGCTTAAGGGGGAGGATGCCTAAATGCACACTGGAGCTGAGAGCAGTACAGGGCAACGTCAGGAATGGGGAAAATAGTTTTATTCAGTCAGCAAGAGTTTCAGGGAACAAACTTTCTCAAGTTCCATGGACATCTTAGTTGTTTTGTAATAACTTTTCTCCACCCTTGTTTGGCTTATTATTGTTCCCAAGGGCTTGGTAGTAGGTCATCCTGAAAACCGGTTGTGCTCAAAATATGTTTGTAAGAGCTCTTTGCACATGTAATGAACTGGCTGTGTACAACCACTGCTTGTGTTTTTCTTTCTTAGCAACAAGGTATTGGTCGGCCAAGTGTATACCATGCCGTGGTGGTCATATTTCTAGAATTCTTTGCCTGGGGGCTCTTAACAACTCCAATGCTAACGGTAAGTATCACTGACCAGCTGTTGTCTTCGCAGTAATTACAAAAGTTCGTTTGCTGATTCGTGGGGATCAGGGTTTTAATTTGTTTTACACTTCCTGTTTACCTGTTTACCTCATTAACTGAATTCCAGGAGTCTTAACATTCAACACTGCACAATAGTAGTATACTACAGGTTAGATCTGGAATGCTGAAAGACTGAAAGATAGTGAAAAATAAACTAGCAAAATGCTGTACTACTCTAACTTTTATTTGCCTTTTAGAGTAAGATCAGTTTAGTGTCTTGATGACAGTCTCTTTGGAAATTCTTTTTTTTTTTTTTCTTTTTTAGACTTCATAGTTCAATTCATCTTCCAGTCATAACAATTGAATAAACTATGCAGCCGATAGTAAACTTTGCATGCTATTGTGGGCTGGCTGTTTTGCTAGCATGTAACTTGTAGTAAAATGTAAAGGCTTTTATGTAAAAAATGGATTTTATAAGTATTTAATCTGTCCCGGAATGCAGTTAGTTTCCTGATGAATAGATAATCTGAGTGTTTGGTAATAGAATATGAAGCCTTTCATATGAAGGCATGGGTTTTATTCATTGAAATCAGACCTGCCTGAGAGAAGTCATCAAAAATTTATTTGTTCGGCTTTTCATTAGATAATATCTGAGAGTGCGCGCTTTTTGCATACATGACAAGCGAGATTTTCTGGCACTGAAAGACCTTGGAGTTAATTATTTTCTTTCCTGAAACTCCAAATAAAATAATCTACATAATTTTTGTAAGCTGTTTGTCTAATCTTCCAGACAATCACTGATCTTTTTAACATAGCTTAATAAAAAGAAGGTCCATATAAACAGTTAAGATTTTGATAAGTTAGATATCTCAATAAATGACCTTCCTGTCATGCTGTCTTGTCAATGTCAAAATATGGGGAAGCTTACTAGATGATCTTTCTTTTTTCTTTTCTTTCCCCTTTTTTTTTTTTTTCCTTAACCAAAATGCTCTACTTCAAGTTGCCCAAGCTTGGATTTCTCATTTGAAGGGATAATGTGGAAATAGTTAACCCCCACTTTAATAAAACTGTATGTTAGGTGGTTTTTCAATAGTTTCTGAATAGTGTACTCCAGTTGAAATAGTTCCGTATGAATGTTTACTCTTAGTCACATGCAGCTGCAATGTTCTTGAAATTAGTATGTATCATTGCACTGTGTCTAATGGGAGTGCTGTGAAATGCTTCTAATATAAAGCTAAATTCTTGTTTTGACTGAAGTATGTGGATTCAGTACGATCGTGGTCTTGAATGTCTTGTATTTTGAATGTTCTCTTAGATTGTCTTGAATACTTAGGAGGCTGTTGCGTTGGATTAAAATCTTAAAGCACTGAGTTACATATAATAATGTAACTTATACAGGTGTAAATGACTTCTGTGTTCTTGGGGGTGATCACCTTTATTTGTAGTCAGCTTTGCATACACTGAAAGGCTGATGTTTGTTTTAAATAATATAAAATCTGATTTGATACTCTGCACCCTTCTGTCTTGTAACGTATTTATGGTAACTTGGCCTGCTGATCAGCCAGCAGTATTAGAAGTCATGTAGAGCTTTCTTATGAGCAAAGTTCAGCCTTTGAACTGCCAGCTGCCCACTTTTGCTCAAGCAGGTTAGTCTGGTAGGGAGGGCAGAAAAGGAAATGTCTGGCCTGTTGATTAGAGCTCATGATCATTCAGATTTTTGTGTTCGTGTTGTGATTCTCCTGGTCTTTGTCCACATTCAGTCAGATTAAAATGTTGTGTTGTGTATTATCAAAATAAATTTTGTGTTCTATGATAGCTGAGATTATTTAAAGTTCATTTTTTAGATGACTTTTTCTTTTGATATCTGTCAGCAAAGCTGTAGTGCTTGTTACATGACACTATACTTAGAGAGAAAAAGATTTGACATGCTTATAAAGCACAGAAAAGCTGTGTTGCTCACAGACTGCTCAAAGCTTATTTATGGACTTGTAAGCCAATATTAGTAAATTACCATAAGCAATATTAGTCACTTAATGGGATATTATGTCTTCAATATAATATTTTTTTGACTATGTAAATATTTGTATTGGTAGAACTTGAGTAAGGCAGTTCCATCTACCACTTTGTCAACTTGCATTTCTCTTGTCTATAAAGTAACAGAAATTAATCTCAAAAGCTTGAACCAGTATAACTGGTGGTTGCCTCCCAGAAAAATACTGGAAGCACTTTACAGAAAGATAATTAGATTTGACTCTGTGACAGCTTCCTGTTTTTTTTTTTTTTTTTTACTTGGAAGACATCTGCTTTCGCATTTTTCTCTGTTCCTATCATAAGATCGATGGTCAAACAGGTGCAAAACCATTTTAAATATCTAAACAGAAGATGAGACCAGAAGGACAAAGGGGTGTGAATAAGCAGAATTATCTGACCAGTAGTTAACATGGGAACAACCACCTTTATGAAACCTATGATTTGAGAATCTCAGTCATCCTTGAAAAATGATGCTGATACTTTTCAGTGACACCAAAGTTTTGTGTTTCTTGAGGCTAGTGGCTTTCTCAATATGCATATAAATAGTGTTTGTAGTTGTTGGCACTTATCTGTAGATAAAACCAGCAAATTAATTTGAAGCGTGTGTGCATACATGCTTTGATCATTGCAATAACTTTTTTAATAGACACAGTACCACCTGTGAGGCCTTTTAACTCTCTTGGATATATATGGTAAATCTGTTTAATATAGATTAACATGCTTGCCCTTGAATTAAGACTGGTGGTAAAGCACCTTAAATGAATTCATAGCTGCACTTAAAGGATACGTGAAAAACTCAGAACTGTTGCTAGTAGTTAGAAGTATCTACCTATTCATCAGAAGTGTTTCAAACTGTATGATTATTGAATATCTGCAATTCGTTCAGAAAGTTTGCACAGAGCATTTCTGGGCAGTTGTGAATATAGAGCTGTTTTTTCTTAACAGAGTAAGTTAGCTGAATCTCATTTTCACTCCTAATTAGTAACAATGAATGGAGTAAACCTTTTGAAGGAAATCCTTCTCAAATGTTCTGTGATTTGTACCACATAGAGGTGCTTTTTGCTTACATTGATGCCCTTTCTGAGCAAAGTACTGTAAACAAACCTCCACAGTACAGTGCAGGCTGTGCCAGCAGAGGAATTTATGCCAATAAATTTATATTAAACTTTGCCACTATTTTCTCATGAAGACAAGAAGAGTATAATTCTGGGATAAGATTCTTTATTTAACAAGTCCCCATAGAGCTATCCTGTTTTACAAATCAAGTTTAAACTTTGAACCAACTTTCTTCTGTATCTCCTGATTCAAATAATGGTTTTTTTCCTTGTTAGGTCTTACATGAAACTTTTCCCCATCATACATTTTTAATGAATGGTCTTATTCAAGGTGTTAAGGTAAGATTTTTTTTTTAAAAAAAACTGATCTAAATAATTCTGTGTGTTCCTGTATTGTAATTTGTCTCTCTGTCATTCTTCATAAGAACATAAAAATACTGAGAATGTAATTAATTCTTAAACCATTTTTTCATTATAATGGTTGTGTACTTCATGTCAGTGTAAGGTTTACTGCTGAACGGTAGCATCTTGAAACAAGTGGAATATTTCTCAGAAGTTTAAATTCCTCTCATTTGAATAGGTACGAGTTGAGCTATTATAATCTTGATAAGGATCCTTCTATGAATGGAGCTAGGCTTTTAATGTCTGCTTCCTAATGTTAGATGTTTTATATCAAAAGCAGATTAATGCAGCCATGATAATACCATTGAGATAAAAAATTAAGGACTTCAACACTGTGGTTTTTGTCCAAGATGTGGTATTAAAGCTAATTTTCAGCAGGGTGGTTCGTTATTTTTTTTCCTGGTCGTCTTTGTATCAGTTTTTGAGTGTTCTGTGATGGTCAAGATATTCAGGGCAGCTTATAGCTTACTTATACCACTTCATGCACACAGTGGTCATGCTGGATTGTTCACACAAAAACTTGCAATGTTTCTCTAGAGTAACTGAAACTTGACAGTCTCTTCTTTGCTAACTGTTCTACTGAGAGCCTTCAAAGCTCTTAGGGTAACTTATAACTAAGTTAATTTATAACACCCAGAAATTATTTAGCTTTTTATTCTATAACAAATCTAAAGCATTGTTTTTAGTTGGAAGAATGTAACGTCTTTAGGATGGACTTGCCATCTTGGTATCTGTAATGCTAGATTGGCAGAACATCATGCACTAGGGATGTCAGGATGTCTCAGGCTGAAAGAGGAAGTTAACTTTGCGTTGTTCTCTTAGAAGAACAGAGTTCGTGTTCCTCTTAGTGTTTTCTTTCAACTCTGCTCGTTCACAGTGTGGTGTAACTATTGAGTATCACTCAAAGTAGCAAATGCAGGGTTCCCCATGTATTTTCTACAGAACGTATCTGTAGAAAATTGCATTAATATCATGGTCTAAATGCATGTATTGCTCTAACAGGTGTAGTAAACAGGGGCATAGACCAGAGTGAACCCGGACTTAAGTGTCCAATATTTTCTTTAAAATTTTGCTTATTAAACATCAAAAGTGTTTTGGGTGACAGTTAGCAAAATATGTTAGTTCATATTTACTGAAATCTGACTCTAAGGAGCAAAACTATTAATTTCAACTGAGTAAGGTATCTAACTTTCCGAGAATCTGGTGAGCTGGCTTTGTGGCTTTTGCTCGCAATTTACTTACTGAAATAATTGGAATCAGAGTTGCTTATTGGTGATTTAGTACAGTAGTCTGTACCCATGTTAAACTTGAAGGTGACTATATTTGAATACCAGAGGTTAACTAAAGTTAGCTGGAGTAGACTTCTGGTGTATTGAGGTGCTTATAGTATTTACTAATGTTTGGATTTATGGCAGCGTTGGACTGATGAGGGCTCACTATACTAATTAGGAGGAAGGTGCATCTGTTCTGTAGGTTTCGCAGTTAACAAACCTGTGAAAGGCTTTGCTTATTTTAAATCTTCTGTGTAAGAGAACAGATTTGAGGCCTAGGTTCTAGGACTTTATGCAATGCTGAAAAATCTAGTATTTGTTCCTTAGTCAGTTTTTTCTATGGCAACTATACCTGTAAGTCTGACTTTTGCCACTGGGATATCATCATGGTGTTCCACTGTCTCAAGTTGTCCAGCTTTCTCAAATGGTCCTTACCATTCTTGCAATGTACAAGTGTCCTGTACATGATAAATATGCAGTATAAAGCAATGTGTTCTGTTTAACTTGTTTCAGAGGACAGTTAGGTTCTGTTCGTTGCCCAAAACTCTCCCTTAGGACAGTCCAAATTAGAGGGGAATTTGGGTTTGGGATCTAGCGCTAAGCCTTGCAATAGAGGCTAAGAAGATGTCCTTTGTGAAGCTAGACTGTAGATTTTGGATATTAAGAAGCTTTTGCGGTCTCTGGTACGCCTAGATTTAATCAAATTGATCTTGAAAAAATGTATGCCTTTTTTTTTTAATGCAGTTTGGTTTAATAGATTTGAAACATAATCAGAATCACAGAAAAGTAGACTGTAGAAGAAATTGTGTACAATTTAAGTTATCTACAATTTTGTGTTTGATTTCAAATCAAATTGCAATTTTAGTCCTTTTTTCATATTGTGATTAAAGTGAAACTTATAAATATAGACATTAATTGTTTTTCTCCTGTCACAGGGTTTTTTGTCCTTTCTCAGTGCTCCGCTAATAGGTGCTCTATCAGATGCATGGGGAAGAAAATCTTTCCTCCTCCTTACAGTTTTCTTCACCTGTGCCCCAATTCCATTAATGAGAATAAGTCCATGGTAAGTGGTATGGACTACATTAGCGAGCTTGTTAGTACAGCAGAAATTCATTCAGGGGAATAGCTTGGGGAAGTGGGAGAGGGATAGTAAGACAAGAGGAAAGTCACTTTTTCTCTCAAGACAGGATTGCATTATTCTGGAGCTTTTCTGTTTAAGAGGTGTTAAAACTGTGAATCTTAAAAGTAGAAATTATGGAATGCGATTAATTACTGTATTCACACATGTATAACACTAATTTAAATGGTTTGGTGGCCCTGTCAACTCAGTTTTGAGCTCAGCTGTTATTCCCCCCCCCACCCTTGAGGGCTGACAGTGCTGTGATAAACATATTTTTAAAGCTAAGTGAGCCTTAGAATTTATTGACCACAGAAAAGTATAATTGCTGCAAACAAGATCTTTTAACTCTTTGACCAGGCAACTTTGAAGTCTGAACTGAGTGCAATTGACTTGGTTTCAGTTTCATTTACATTCATTGTGAAACTCAGGAGGATTACAAAAGAATTTTGTGTAAACTGAGTACACTCAGAGTTCAGCTTCTGAAGCATTATATATGATAGTTTTATTCCTTAACTGGTTGACAGTTCCTGATAGATAGTTAATAGTTCCTGCTTCAGCTTTGAGAGTGTGAAAACATACAGGTACCATGTCCTGAAGGGGCCACTTCCTTTAGGCTGATGTAGAGTAAACAGTAGAATATAAAAAAATACTGTTTTCTAGTATTTAAGTGAGACTGCACAATCTTTTCTAGTAAAGCTCTGTGGTAGTTCTTGAGGAACTCTTCTTGTAGCTTAAATACAGACTTGCTTGATTAGTAAGAGAAAAGCAAGAGGTCTTAGCTTAAACTTTCTAATTGTTGCTTTTAAATCATTAGGTGGTACTTCGCAATGATATCGGTATCTGGAATCTTTTCTGTTACCTTTTCTGTAATATTTGCCTATGTAGCTGATGTAACACAAGAACATGAAAGAATTACAGCCTATGGACTGGTAAGATACACTAAACTTGGAAAAAAAAAAAAGATCAGATTATGACCTTCATATTGAACTTGTGTTTTGATGCGCAGTTTGCTTCCTGATGAACGTAATGAAGTTGATGGAGAAAGGAATGAACCATGCATCACAGCACTGCATTAGGATTTGAGAAATCTAATGTAGACTCCTTACTGCTGCGCAGGCTGCTCAGTGCTCGTAGGAACAGAATAAGAATTTGGCAACTTCACCTGCATAGAGGGCATGTGTAACAAGATGTTTTAAGTTTCACGACCAGAACAAGCAATGTTGTTAAAGGCAATGCAGGTTATTTGGTACTTGTTCTGGCAGTATCTTTGCACCACCCAAGAATTGAACTTTCAGTTTATGTGGTGTCTTTTTCATATAGACTGGCATTTTCCATAGTCAATACAGGCAAGAAGGGCAAAAATGCATAATGCAGTATTTTTAATAACTTAATCATGACTTTTCTTAATTAGCAAGAGAAGAGGAAAATAGTTCTGTTAGCACAAACTAGCCTTTCCAGTAGTAATTCCTGCTTACTTTGTTTTCCTGAATATCTGTATTGGTTTAGGTTTTGGAGGCCCATTGGTAGATGCCTTTAAGATGTCATTCACGCCTTCATCCTCTGTGTATCTGTTTTTACTCTACAGATATTCATGGCCTTGATTTTTGGCTGACCGTACTGTTCTTTGAGCTGTTAAGGTTTCCCTTTATTTTGTAGCCTTAGGGACATATGATTCCTCAGATGTTGATTTAACGGTTAAGAAAATAAGGCACTCTGTTCTCTTGAACCAAACTTGTGTGTATTGTTGTAGAAAAGCACAAAACAGGTTTAAAAGTTCTGGACTTCCCACTTTATTTCTCCTGCCCATAAAGAGGGCTTTAAGTATATTTGGGCCATCTATTTGCCTGCCTTCAAGCAGCTTTTTCTTAACAGAAACACCTTGATGTAAAATTCTATAAAGAGACAGACAAAAATGCAGTTGTTTTAATGAGGTCTGTATCTCTTTTGATGACTTTCTTTGGTTTACCTTTTCTTTAGGATTTTTTTTTTTCTAGCTTGGCATGTAGAAAACTAAATTAAATTTCTAGCTCCTGTTCTTACTTATTTTATAGAATAGTTGTGCAGAGTGTTTTTGTTTTGGGGACTGGAAAAGAGTAGTAATTAAAAAACCTGAATGAACTAGCTTTATTCTAACTTTTTCTGATGATTTTTATAGTGAAATTTAACTACAGCACTTGATTTTTCATCATGTTCCACTGTATGTGAATATAGTAAGTGATCTGCTAGTAGCTGTGTGTCACTACAACGTAGTATGAAGCAATACAGTGTTGTTGAAGTTGTTGCCATAGCTAATGATTTCTTAGTTTGCTGTGCTATGCAGTGGTAGCTATGTATTTAAAATGCAGAGCATTATGTATTGCTCTATATGTATTACCCAGAGTGCTGAGGCTTAGTTCATTTAGGCAGGCATTTAAATGTGCTGACAACTTTATCAGTGAAATCTCATCAAATTCATAACTGGAAAACAAAAAACATTTTCATTTGAGCCAAACTTGCTCTTTGAGTGCAAATCCTGTTTCGTGTGGTGGGCTGTGGAGGAGATTGGAGAAACTTTATTTGGAACCATATTTAGTGTCGTAAGTTTTTTGGTTTGTTTTTTTTTTTTTTTTCCCCTTAAATTTTGACCGGTGTTTTTTTAAAAGCACACTTCTGGGGAGGCATGACGGTGTTGAGCAAGTTACTTCATTTTTCTGCAATGGCAGAATAACCATTTTGGCAATTTCGTAAACTCTTCTTGTGCATAGGTATCTGCCACTTTTGCAGCAAGTTTGGTAACTAGTCCTGCCATTGGAGCATACCTGTCTGCCCACTATGGAGATAACCTTGTCGTGCTAGTGGCCACATTGGTGGCTGTTGTGGACATCTGCTTCATCCTGTTAGCTGTGCCAGAATCTCTGCCAGAAAAAATGAGACCTGCTTCATGGGGAGCTTCTATATCATGGGAACAAGCAGACCCTTTTGCAGTAAGATGCACTTCAATAAATAATTAATAAATAATCAATGATTAATAACAAGAATAAGGATAATAAATAAGCATTTTGTAAGCTTGAGAAATCATTAATTGTGTTGGTAGCTTGGCTATTAAGTATACCATAACCTCTGTTCTCTGTTCTTACAGAAAAAGATCTAGCTACATTTAAAAACCAGAATCAAACCAAACTTTGTGGATTAAATGATTCTTGAATTAGAAACCATGTTTGGTGTGAAATTCAAAGGGAGAATGCATTACTTTTCTAACTTACTTTATTTTAAGAGAAATGCTGAATTCTTACACTGCTACAGACCACAAAACCTGATATTGTAAGAGTTTTCTGTATTCATTTTATGCTTTGCACTTTTGGTTGGCCATGTCTTTCTCCGCTTTTGATTCCACTTTTTATTGTATGTGATTTGTTTTTAATACAGAATGGAGCTATCAAGCCTAATTTTTCTACAGACTTATAGGAGAATTACATATCATGCAGTCTTTCTAGTCACGTTTTCACTTATACACACTTGCTCAGCTCATTTGTGTTTGTGTTACACCTTGGTATCTTAAGAGAGAAAAAGAGTGATTGTTCTTCATGAAATCCATCCTGCTCAGAACAGTTTGTGAATGTTGAGAGATCAGTAATATGCTTGAAAGACTGCAGTTAAAGAATTTGATTTCTACAATTTATTTTTTACTCAGTGATTCATATTATGGGCAAACAAGTATAAGAAATGTGCAAAGGAAAATACTGTTACTATTTGGGAAAAGGAAACAGTTGTAACGAGGATATATTTTTACTAGCATCTTTCAGAACAGATTATTATGGGGATCAATTAGAAGATATTATGCATATTCCTAAATATTATATGATGCTGTTTTCAGTGAATACTTGTAATTCGGCACTGAGCGATAGCTTCAAAAATCTTAACGGAAACTTTGCAGAAGAATCAGATACCACAAACTTTATATAACGGCGTTGTTTCTAATTTAATGTTCAGCATAACTGTTCCTATGTGTGATTTTTTTTGAGTCATATGCATGGGTAAAGATGGATTTAAAAAAAGTTTCCACCTTCTGCTTTCTTTGTTTTCATTAGAGTTTGTATAAAAGTGCCAATACTTACTTTGTTTCTTTGTTTGGCAGTCTTTGAAGAAGGTTAGAAAAGATTCTACTGTTCTCCCGATCTGCATTACAGTCTTTCTTTCCTATCTGCCTGAGGCTGGCCAGTATTCTAGCTTTTTTCTGTACTTGCGACAGGTAAGTGTTGGCGTCTTCAAATCTAACTAAGGATGTTTAAATAAGTATTCCCTAAGACTTGCTTCTTGTTGAAGACTGCTCAGAAAACTGCTTTCTGGCAAAATGCAGCTTTAAAAAATAAAGATAGGGTACTTTGCTAAGCCAAGAACTGAGTAACACTTGACTCCTGATGCATAAACCCCGCTATGGCTTAAGATATATTCATAAAGTTGAGCAGACGTTTGTTCCATTCAGTGCAGCAGTTTGTATGACTTGGGGTGGGATCTTGTCTGTGGAAGACCTTTGTGTCTGGGAGAAGATAGAGAGCTTCTCTTTCCAGATACATGACTTTGTCTCCTTTTTTTTTAAGACAGTTTGTTGTTTTTTTTTTTCTTCTTGTGTGGATTTCTTGGTAAGCAGTCAAGTTAAGGATTATTTTTGGGAGTGGATGCTTCCTGTATGGATTTAGATTATAAGTAGGGATCAATATTTTCTTTGAAGAAGATACCTCTTTGCTAGTGGTTGTCCTGTATTGTGTTTGGCATTTGTTTTAAGCGTTTTCTACTTCTCTTTAGATTATAGGTTTTGGATCTGCTAGCATTGCGACATTTATAGCTGTGGTAGGCATTCTGTCTATAATAGCTCAGGTAAGTTTTATTCCTTTTAGTGTTTTATTAAACAGTACAAACTGAATGCTGAGGCACACTCTTCTGACTATTAAGCTTGTCTATGCACTTCTTACATGCTCTAAAATGCTAGTGTATCTTGCGTGCAGTAAAGGTTGTATTCTTATATAGTCTTTGTAAATGTCTTGCTTTAAATGTGCTTCCTTGGAAATACTGAGCCTGGACATCAGAAAATGAAATTGAAATTTGCTAAGCTTGGATCAGTAAATTTACTTGAATTCTGGCTTTAAATTATTAAAATGAAGTATGAAATTGAGTACTTAATGCAAGGCCTTCTGAAAGGGAAAAGTGTTATTTATTTTGAGCAAAAGTCATGCTACTTGCACCTGTTCAATTGGCTCATGCTATCAAACTTTCATAGAAACAACGTAGGTATGGTCTGTCCAGGGTTACTTAGGCCCAGCATGGATGCCTTGGTGTATTGCTTTCATACCTTTTAATTGGCAACAGTGAGTTGGTTTTTGGACAGGTCCTTTATACCTTTTAGAAATCAAACAGTTTTTGATGATCTTGTGTCTTGATGGATACAGTTTATATTCCTGTTGTGATAACAGCAATGGCTCATACAATGTGCTGTGACCTTGTTGCCATCCTTAGCAGAGTGGAGGTTTAACTGTTTTGATGTAAACAACACAGTCCTCAGCGTTCACCAGTTTTACTGGTGTGAGTTGTGTCCTTCATTATCAATTCATTATTTTAATCCTTGCTGTGTGGTTTGTTCTGATGCAGTGATGTGTGGTCACATTTGTCACTCGTGCATTATTCAGACTGGTATTTTTGCTAAAAAAATCTCTAAAATGGCTGCCTTTCTGGTTCATAATTTTTGATGTTAATATGAGGAAACTCTGCATTGATTTTTGAACTCTTTGAAGAGTGCTGCTTGTCAAGATAAGCTTTGCTTCATAAATACTGATTTGTGTTGGCATGTTCTTCAGAAAGAACTGATCACATGTAGATAGAATTACTGTATTTTTGCTATTTAGCTTTCAAACTAGCTTTGTCTAAGAATGAGAAACAAAAAAACTAGTGTGAGGAAGATGTACATGGGAGAGGAAGTGTGCTCTGCTCTGAAGTCCTTTTGATTCCTTTTCTCTGGCTTTTTAGTGATGCATTGCTAAGTTTCTCATGTTAAAGAAAAACGTGTGCTCTGTTAACTGGGTGAAGTTGTCCCTATGGACTTTTGTCTTGCTAGAAACAGTCTGCTTCTTGCCATGAATGTATTGCTGTCATATCTGAATTGGGACCTCCTTCCCCCACAACAGTAACACTTTTTAACAGATGAAAAACAGTGGTCTTCCTTTAGGATTAGTTTCCATGTGCAAATAAAAGGTCATATCGGCCGTATAAACAGTCAGCAGAAAATGTAATTAAAGGTGCCTAGAAATTGGCCTTGGCCAAATTTCAATGGATGTGGTGAAGTTGGAAAAGCAGCAGGATTTACTTGTTGGTGATAATTGTAAATTTGAATAGTAATGCACCTGACCTGAAGAGATTACTTTTTTCCTGAGCTAACAGGTTTTTTCTCTAGTATTTGTGATACTAGTAAATTAAACCCATATCCAACACCTACTGCCTTCACTTGACACCAGCATTTGTTGTGGAACTCTTGTCTGTAATGAAACAGAACTGCAGAGGTAGAAACAAAAGCCTGTTTACAGTAGAAATAAACACTGAGATACAATGTCCGTAGAAAAGAGCATAAATACACTTCTTGATGTCCTAATTAAACTCTTTAATAGTTAAGAATGTCTGTACATCAAATGTTGGTATGACGAGTCTGCATTTTGGACTTAATAAAGGGGAAGTAAGAGCATGAATAGTGTGAATTTCCTCAGCAGCTGAAATTACTTTGACAACCTGGCTTTTAAAAATAACTTTTGGGTGAACCAATTTCTGTTGCAGACTGTGTTTCTCAGTGTCTTGATGCGGTCTATAGGGAACAAAAATACAGTTCTCCTTGGCCTTGGCTTTCAAATCCTTCAGTTGGCTTGGTATGGTTTTGGATCTCAGTCTTGGTAAGAACACATTTTCATAGGTACATACCTGTTAAGGAACTGAAAATATTTTTCCAAGAAATTCTACCATTTAGTTCTATCATCATGAATATTAAATGTTCTGTGAATTAAGCATTCTCATCTGCATTACACTAGCAAAGTTTGGTTTGTATTTTGCACATGTATGAATGACAGAATTTTCCAGGTGTGTAGTGTAAGTTGCAGACTAACAGCCCTTTTGAAAAAAGAGTCTTTGCACCATTTTGGTTGACTGAGTTTTATGTCTACAAATGTGATTAAAACCTTTTCTTAAACTCACAAGCTAGTAAGTAATATCTTCTCGCCAGTAATTCCACTCGATCCAGTCTATCAGTCCGTTACTGGATTTTTTTTTTTTCTGTCTTTTCTAACATGTCATTCTCTTGCTGTAACCATATTTGGTCTAGAGCTGCTTTTGTTGGAAAAACTGTATGTAAGTAAAGTGAGCTAGAACTATAAGCTGGAAAAGCTTTTTCTTTACAAAGTTTGTCCTGACAGTGATGAAGGCTTGTTCTTTATCAGAGCACTTCCTGGTGAGTTATGTAAGTTAGAAAACTGCCTCACTGGGACACCCTGTGAAATTGTTCCTTTGTACAGCCTTTGGAGAGGGAAAATCTGTGCATCACTTCACTCCCACTCCCCTCTTTTCCTCTGCTGTAATAGCAGAATCAAATGTGCTTCTGTTCCAACAAGCTCAGGGCAATTTGTAGGTGGGGAAGCAGGAAGAAAGCTGTGACCAGGTAATTTCCAGTCTTTAGGTCTTTTAATAAGAGTACTTTTGAAAGAGCATTAAGCCTTAAATGAGGGTACCCTTGTGGCCCTTTTTTTAGGGGGGTGGGGAGTAATTATATGGGCAGTCTAATTTTTAATTCCAATTATTCATTTAATACAGGATGATGTGGACAGCAGGAGCTGTAGCAGCTATGTCAAGCATTACGTTTCCAGCAATCAGTGCTCTGGTTTCACGAAATGCAGAGTCAGATCAACAAGGTGAGTATTGAATTAATTTGTTTCAGCATCAGACTGCTTTCTTGGGTGACTCCTCTGTCTAGAAAGCAGAGCGCTTACCTAGGTGTACTTTTCAAATATGTTGATGAGTAGTGAGTTTCTTTGGTAGTAGCTGTGGAAGTCTGCCAATCTATGTAGAGAGGCAGGAGATACATAGATTTACCAAATTTGCATTGCAAAATACAGTTTCTGTCTGACCAGCTAGTTCTCTTCTAACTTCCTGTAAAAGTACTACAAAAGCAACAAAAACAGATGTGTTAACTTTCATGGGTTTTTTCCTTCCTCTTTTTTATTTAAAAATATTAATTATTTTATTATTTTTTAAAAAAATTAAATTCTCTAAGTAGCTCATGAGGATTAATGTAACAATACCATCTTTTTAATGGAACCTAAACCCACATTTTACCAGATTAAAATAAACCTATACAAGAAGCTCTATTCTGTGTGGAAAAGTTGGCCTTATTTTTATAATACTCCAGATTTTCAAGGCATAAGAGAAGGAAGCTTAAGTAAATACTTGAACTAAGAAGACAGAAAAAATTCATTGGTTTTGATGTGAACAGGAATGAACAATCAGAAAAAACTTTTCATTTAAAATGAAGTGAGGGAAGGAGTCATCACAAAGTATGACACTGGTATGTAATAACTGAATTTAGTGTTCTCTTTTAAAAAAATCATGTACGTATAAATTATAAGTATCATTGTTGCTTTAACATTGTACAACTTGAAGTTAGGTAAGTGCAATTAATATGGGACGTACAAAGGAGGTGCAGTTCTAAGAGGCAGATTTCTATGGAGTTTGAAAGTTGCGAAAGACAGTATTTTATGTGTCTTTTTATCATTCCCTGCTCCTCATTTTCTTTCTAACAGAGACATTTAAAATAATTTTGAAAGACTTGTTTTATGTTTGTCATGAAACAAATAGTTTAGTTAAGTTGATAGAAGTCATTGATCTCTCATTTTATGTTGAGGAAGCTACTGTTAATAGCTCAGGCATGCAGTAGTTTCTAGAGTGTAGTTTTGCCATCTAGTGGCACGAAGATTTTAAGCTTAGATGTCAGTCTATGAAGAAAAAACTTGGACAACTCTTTGGGATGTTTTCTTTCCTTGCATTTTATGAGTTACTGTCTTAAGAATGGAAGGGGTTAATGCAGACTACTGATGTTGTAAAAAGAGGGTTCTGTAGAATCTTAATCTGTAAGATCATCAAAAAACTTCTTACACTGTTGTCACGATCACTTAATGAAGTTGAAACAGAAATACACCCATAGAACTTTGATAAATTAAGATTTCAAAATAATCTAATGCAAACCTGCAGCCAGTCTAGTATTGTGAATTTACTGCAATACTGCTGAATTTAACACCCTAACGCCCCAAATGAGTGACTTGGTACTGCTTTTAAACTGGTGAGGGGAAGAAATCCTTTACAGTTTGTGCATATTTTACCAATAGCAACCCTTAACCCATAGAGATGTTACTCTAAATCTCACTTGAAAATAAATTAGGCAGGTTCCATGTTTAACCTCTGCTTTCTTCATTGTAGGCTTTGGGTGAGGGTGGAAGAATTCAGATCAGAAAATTAGATTTGCATGTCAATTTAGTCACTCATTTTCAAAACTTGTGTCGCTTCCAGTAGCATGCAAGTACAGTGACTGAACTGTCATGCAGAAGATGATTTTAATCCAGTCAAAATACACTGAAATTGTCTTCAGTGTATTTTGTGAAATCTTAATATGTAGAAATAATTGAGGTGTGCTGTTTTAGAATAGCCATTAGAATACAGCCATTAAAAAATTAAAAATATAAATAATTCTATCCTTAGTTTTTTTCTTCATTAGGTGTTGTCCAAGGAATAATAACTGGAATAAGAGGTCTGTGCAATGGCCTGGGACCAGCACTGTATGGCTTTATTTTCTTTCTCTTTCACGTGGAGCTCAATGAATTGCCACCTGATCAGACTTCTGGAAAAAAAGCAATACAAGATCCCAGTGATGAGGCAAGTTTAAAATTTGATGTGAAGTTTGCAGTGTAGAACTCATAAGGATAAAAACCTGTCATTTTTGATTGATTTAAAATCTCGATAGCTAATTCTGAAACTACTTAATTCTCACTTGTCAGCTTTGTTAAACTAATAAGGTAGCTCATAATTTAAATTTGATGGTAAATAATTAGATTTACAGTAGTAGCTTTGGTTTCAGTATTTAATAGAACCAATTAACTTCTTTTGATGTAAATCCACTAAAAACACAGCTGTAATCCTGAATTACAGTGAAACATGAAAATTTGGCAATAGGAAGGTCATTTTTGTTAATTCAGTAGATGCAACAACTTTTATCTTTGAACCTCACAGCAATAGGTTAATTATTCATGCATACAGTAATTCAGTAAACAGTTGAGATGTGTTGTGTTGTGTTTGTTTTTTTTTTTTTTTCAGTGGCAGTAACAATGCTGTTCATCACCTTTCCTTAGCTGTATGAAACTTGGGGGAGAGGGGACAAGTCAATCCTATGCAACATTTTTTTGGAACTCTCTTCAGTCTTTTCTTTTATCCCTGCCATCTTTGTTTCAGGTCTGCGTTTTTGTCTACTTTGTTCTTTCCTATTTGGCTTCCAAAATATCAAATGTATGCTTATCAGAGTTTGGAGAATCTTATGGACCCTTTTTTCTTTTTAGATTGATCACTCTGACCTCCTCAGCTACAATTTCATTGCTTTTTCAAAATCTAAGAATGGTGATCTCTTAGCTTGTCACTAAGTTGGCTAAGAAAGGCAACAGATTAGTTGGATGTGTAAATAACTTGTGGTAGTTTACTGTGGAAACAACTGTTTGTTGTTCATCCCCCAGTCCGTGCGTCTTTCCAGGTATTAACTGTAACCAGTGCTTGAACGTGTTGCTCACTGCAGTACTTATGGTGGGGTGTTCCATAATTTGCTCAAGCAAACCAAGTACAGTTTTAGAGTAAGGGGACAAAGATACTCCTTGTTGTACAAAAAGGAAACTGTAGTAAAAATGGGAAAACCATTATGATAATGATTTCAGGTTTTCAAGAGCTTTGTCATGCTTTCACTAGTTAAAATTTTGATCTTGAACTCTGTTTTTTAAAGCATCGAGTCACATAAGCTTTTCTTGGGGGCACAGTGTTGTGGCTTTTTGACCTTGTACACACGTTTCTGTTACAAGTCCTTTCAGTATGTTCTGTTACTTTAAGAATGTCCATGCGGGTTTTTTGTTGAGGTAGCCCAGATGTATTACAGTGGAGCAACTGGCTGTTCCAGTAAGTTATAACAAGTCAAAACTTCTGTTGTGGAATTTTCTAAGGCTTGTGGTAGAAATTCCTGCACTGAAGCCCGATGTATGAGCTTCCTTATAAAATAATGATTTTTTTCTAAGCTGTAAGTGAAAATTAAACCGTCGTTTCAGACATCCTTGTTTTCTTGAAAACCTACTTAAGAAGTAGACGGTTTTTAGTTAGTAGTACAGCAAAATCAGAAAGTATTTGCATAACTAAGATTGCCTTTTATTCTAATTTCAGTGGGACAGCTCTTATGTTTAATTATGTATGTACTCATAAGCTTTGTTAAATGCCTGTAATTATGTCTCTCCCTGTTAATAGTTACCAGGCACTTAACACATGAAACTATCATTCAAGAAAGTAACAACACAATTTTTGTTCTTATGTTCAAGCCTAACAGTGGAAAAGAACTCTACAGTTTAAATATTATATAGCTTTAAAAACTGATCTAAGTAGAATGAGTGGAAGTGAAAACCAGGGAATGCACCAAGATTAAACAAGGAAATTAGCAAACGCGTACAAGCCTCATTTACAAGACTAGTACCTTGGATTTGCAAGGCCCAAACGCAAGCTAACTGTCTCTCGATTTTGTTCAGTGTTTTAAATTGATAACTAGGAGTTTCTTTACACATATACATAGTCTTAAAAATGTTTTATTTATTTTATTAAATGCTAGTAAATGTTTGGTAAGAAGCGTTTTAATAAGTGTAACAGGTCAACTACCTTGTTTTAAAAAGTTACTGGATGTCTGTGGAACTGCAGATAACTGATATAATGTGTTTTAGTGATAGCACTGTTTTTGGGGTTTTTTTTTGATGATGAAGCTTGTATTCTACCCCTGTTCGTCAAAAGGAACTGAACTGAGAATGCACCATTACTGTGCTGAACCTTGATCAAACCCAGTGTGCTGTTGAGGTGGCTTAAAAACAGTTCATCCTCCTTTGTTTCCACTGCTGTAATACCGGGTGTTACTGTAACTACAGCAAATAGATTTTTAAGTCGTTATCTGAAATAGTTTTTTTATATAGGTATTGTTGAAATTAATCATGTGAAGAATAAAGCTGTTTGGATAACTTTTGACACAATTTACTTTGAAAGCTGTCTTGAAAAACAAAAACATTTAAATTTAACTTAGCTAGTGAAAGCTGATTATTGTAATAACTTAGCATTATACCTTTCAAATATAAAGTCTTCTGTGTTCATTGATAGAGTGCTAAACCAAATTGTTAAATATAATGGTTTTCTAACTCTTCATATTCAAACAGTGGTGACAGGAAGTCCAGATGCAAATTTCAGTTAACATGTAGAGTAAATAGACTAGAATACATCTTAGTGGTCATTTCTGGTGGTTTTTTACACAGCTCAAAATCAATTTTTTTTTCTTTTTTTGACGTGCCTTTAAGTGTTCATATCTTTTACTCTAGATGACTTGAGAATAGGTATTTACCGAGTATCACTTTTTTTTTCTTTCGTGTGGAAGTGGGAGAGTTGCGATGTTACCACAGGTCACAGTTGTGATTCTGTTCTGTCAAAGAAAAGGTCTTACTCAAGAAAGACTGTGCATCTGCTCTGCAGAGCATAAATAGTAAAATTTAAGCAATCTGTCTTAATTCCCATTTAAATGTTTTTAAAACTGGAGAGCCTAAAGAGAAGAGTGAGGTTGCATCATTACAACTATCAACACAGCCCTTACAGCAAACAGTGCAGTCATAGGCTGTGTTTGGAGAGTAATAATAATACTTGGCAATGCAATGAGCAAGGACTGCTCTTCAAAGCTGCTTACTCCCTCCAGTGAAACTGCAGCCGTGGAATATTCAGAAGGTGCTCTGATAAATCCACTGTTATACTACAAATGAGCATATTAATTTATGGAAGTTTATTACATTCCTTAAGTACTTATGGGCTTAGCACCACTTGAAGATTTTAGTAATATTGTTAGTATAAATTATGTTAATATGATTATATAAATTTAGAGACTGTCAGCTGAAAAATTAGGCCTCTACTTGTAACAAGAGTTGAAGGAAGGTAAATACTTTATTACTGTATGCTTAATTTCAGCTGCTTTCCCGCTTCATATTAGAACAACTTCCTTTATTTCATTTCGTAGAAAAAACAGGGGATTGACAAGTTTCATCTTTTGATGTTTATTTAGTTGTAGTTGATAAAAACACAGAAAAGTTGTTTAAGACTAAAACCAAAGAAAATCACTGTATTAATAGCTGACACTTTCTTTTGCAGAGTTTTGTCATAAAACCTGGCTGGTTTAAAATTAGTCTTAACTTTTCTGGGGCTTGTTTTTAATTGTGGTTATGAAATGTAGATAAATTGTATTTTAAATTAAAAAAACCCAGACTGTTTAGAAGCAAGAGAGAATAACTCCAAATACATAGCTTTCATACATGCCAACAACCTGTCTGTGCAGTGAGACCGGTATGTACTGCATAGCCTGCTGTTACTTTCCTCGCTCATGTATTAGTTTTTGGGGATGTTTGTTTGTTTGGCCAGCTTGGTTCTAAAGCATGTCAACCATTGAAGCAAGTGGAAAAAGTGAAGTTAAGTTAAAGATTTATTGAGCATTTGTACTTCTGGATTTTGAAACCTTATCCTACTGATCTTGAGAGGAGTCTTGCTGATTTAACAGGCATGTTGCCTAAAGAAGAAGAAAAAATTACAAAGAAGCATCAGTCAATGTCTGTTCCATCTGCTAGGCAATCCCATTGTCAATTGATAGTTATGTGCATGTTTCTATTTTTTAGCAGACAGATCGAGTGATGAATTCATAGGGACTGTAGATGCAGAAAATTCATGTTGCAGTGCACACATGAACTTGTTTGCGTGAACTTTATCATCACTGTAAATACGTCTCATTATCTCCTGCCTTAGTGGTATAGTTCTTAATGCAGAAGTCAATGTCTAAAACTTTATGAATTCTTTGATATGCTTATTTCCCTGCAGAGAGCAGTTGTTCCTGGGCCACCATTCCTGGTTGGAGCATGCATTGTTCTTCTGGCTTTTCTAGTCGCCTTACTTATTCCTGAGCACAGCAAAGCCAGCAGTACTAGGAAACACAGCAGCAGCAGTACTCTGAGTAACAACTTAGACCGAAGCAGTGAAGAGGACATTGAACCATTGCTGCAAGATAGCAGTGTATGAAGGCTGACTTGTGAGGAGACTATGGAACAAATTCATGCACTGAATTGCGGCTCTGGAAGCTTGGTGGGATGTACGGAGTATCTGGCGTCTGAAAGGAAGGCAGCTGTGTACAGGGGAAGGTCACATGCTGTACGATAGTTGAGGTTGATACCATACTGGCAGGAGAGTTTGTTTAGCGTGGCAGGTCACAACTAGGTGTGATTCTACCTGATATTGGACTGCAAATGCTATGTCAAATCCTGGTATTGGGTGGAAACCCAAATATACAGACATAATGAAATTTTTTTAAAGTTTGAATGTTCATTTCCCAAAGTTACATGCGAAATAATCAGGTTTGAGGCAGAACAGTTTCTGCCACCACTGTTAAAAGTTGTTCTGTGTTTCTTATGCCTTTTGTCTGCATGTATGCCACACGTAGTCCTCACGATGTGAGAGGGACTGATCTATATAGTTCTGGTACCTGAAATAGTGCTTATCAATAAAAGTAATTAAATTTCCTGAAGACACATTCTCAGATATTATTTAGTAATGAGAAGTCCAGTAGTTACCAGAGAGCAATGATGAAACAGATGACTGCTGAGGGTGTGTGATCGCACATGACAGTCATTACCCATAAATGACGGTCTTAAACCCACATTCCAGAACAGTCAGTTCTGAGTGGTTAAAGCAAATCCAGATGGCACCTAAGGGCACTGATCACATTAATATTTTGCTGATAAAAAAATAGAATTTTAATTATAAAATGAGCAGTAAAATGAGCAGTGTCAGAAATACAGACACTCCTGACTTCTGAGGCAGGAAAAATGGTGCCAGAGTAGTTTACATCAAGAAATATGTATATTTATTGCATTTTGTCACTTTATCTGCCGTATGAAATAATCTTTCCTGTTAATTCTTTTCACCCCTGCCTTAACTGCTACTTAGTGTTCAGTTATTAATCATATTTAGCCTTCATATCACTGTCTTACCTGCTGAATCTCATGGGTATATTCATATCACATGTCCTTTCTAAAAGATGCTTTAAAGGAGTTATGAATGGCTGAAAATGTGCTAATTTTTAGAGACATTTTATGAAGAATACACAGATTTATATGTATTTTGCTGCAGTATAAATGGACCATTAAACCCAACTTTAATGAAGTACTCCTATGAATGTTTTATATGTATGCAATATATGTAGATATTTGTAGGGACTTTTACTTTTTCCAGATGGGGAGCTGTGTAAATCATGTATTTATAAATGTAATGAGGGTACTGCAGATATACACTTTTTTAAAGGATTGTGTATTGACTGAACAAATTTTAAAAAATATATATATATTTTGAAACTTGTTCCACATTGAGCAGAGATAACAAACCTTTTGTACTATGCGGTTTGGTTTTTAAGTTAATAAGCTTCCTAATGCATAATAAATCTACATCTTAAGCTTTCTAGGTTTCATGTGTAAGTGTGTGTTCTTCAGAGTTCACTGCTGTACCTTCCCTGCTTCAGAACAGATGTGATGCAGTTCTAGTGCTGGATTACAGTACCTGAATTCCTCTTGTACTATTGTTGTGTGTGTTGTCATCAAGTATGGTGAAAAGCATGCTTTGCTCAGAAGTCGCTTTGGTGTCTGACGTGGTGTCCTCTGCAGTAGAGAAGT